TCTTCAATCCATCTGGAGTTAATTTTAGTGTAAGGTGTCAGGAAGGGGTCCAGTTTCTGCTTTTTGCACATGTCTAGCCAGTTTTCCCAACATCATTTATTTAACAGGAACTCCTTTCCCCATTGCTTGTTTTTGTCAGGTTTGTTAAAGATTAGATTGTTGTAGGTGTGTGGTGTTGCCTCTGAGGCTTCTGTTCTCTGTATCTCTGTTTTGGTACCAGTACCATGATGTTTTGATTACTGGAGCCTTGTAGTAATAGTTTGAAGTCCAGTAGTGTGATGCCGCCAGCTTTGGTGTTTTTTTGTTTTTTTGTTTTTTTTTTTTTTTTTTTTTTTTTTTTTTGCTTAGAATTGACTTGGCTATGCGGGCTCTCTTTTGGTTCCATATGAAGTTTCTATCTCTGTTCCTTTCCTCACTTTTGTTAGGCCTTCTTTATTTTTTCTGCATTTACTTTGTTCAGCTTAATTTTCATTTTCACTTTTAGCAGTTTCTCCTCATTATGAGACCAGTCCTGGAATAGATATCTGACTGGTTGCCTTTGAGAATTCATGCACTCTAACTGTTCCAGCATCTTTTGGAACTTCCTCAGGACCCCTTGCACTAACCTACCCTTGTATTGAGCAATTTCTGCTTTCACTTCCTTATTCAAATTGGCCTGCCTGGTTCCAGTTAATATGTTTTTGAAGCTTTTGAGTTTTCCTGTTGATTCCCTCTTATTCCTGCCTCATAGACACTGGTACCATCTATGTCTTGGGTTTGTAGTTTACGTGTACCTGTTTATGTTTTGGCATTTAAGGGGATAATCTGCCACTGACATTTTTTAGAATCATTGTTCTTTTTTTTAAATTAGTTGCTATATTTTTAAATATTGGAAGTCAAGGATATCAGAAAGTATCTTGCTACTCCCACTGCTCACTCAGAACTCTGTCACATGGGTTAAATTTGTTAATTTATAAATAGTTAAGCTTGTTTTGGCCATATTTGATATTATAGTTTTAATTTTATTTTATTAGAATATAGCTCATAAAAATACCATTTAGATTTTTAAAATATTTTCTCTGTACAATGTTTATTGTCTTTTAAAAATGTTATATAAATTAAAGAAAATATTTTTAAATCATCTGTGTTTGTTCTTGATTTCTCTCTGTTTTGTAACAGAACATCTTGAAAGTTCAGCCTGTAGTTTGTTTCTACTTTGTCATGTTCCACATTCTCCTTATATTATTCTGTTTTTATTAACATCCCTACCTCTCTGTTCAAAGTTCTTTAGTTTAAATTACTCAGAAAGTTCATGTTGTCAAATCCAGTAGCCATATTTTCATCCTTATCTTAACCAACAAAATCAATCATTACTTTCTCCTTGCAATATTTCTGTTCTTTGACCATCTTGACACAAAGCTTTCCTGGTTTCCTCCCACCTACCTTTCCACTTCCTTTTTTTAAGCTCTAATAATGGGGTGGCCCTGAATGAACTCTTACAGATAATTTCTCCTGCATCTATTCCGTCTCCTAGGGACTATCATACAAGTACATGATTTAAAATGACATTTATGTTCCTTTGATTTCCAAATTTTTAAATCTAACCTTTCCTCTGAGCTACAAGCTAATAGTTACCATCTATTCTTGAACATTTAATCGGTATTTCACATTTAACATATTCTAAATATGTTTTTCTTTTCTTATATCTCCCTTGATCCTCATGGCCCTTTTTTATTCTTCTCAGTAAGTAGAAATATCACTTTCCACTTGCTCTTGTGAGAGCAAACTGCAACAGTCATGATTGATTCTTCTCCTTCATTCACCTGTCATATCTAATCCTTCAACAGGTCTCCTCAATTCTCACCTGAAATTATGTTTCCAACTACTTATTTTTGTCTTGATGACTCCTACTCTTGTACAAGCTACTATCAGTGTATGACTAGAACAATTAAATATCCTCCTCTCTTATCTTCCAGATTTGCTCAATCATTTCTTCCTCACCCAACAGCCAGAATTATATTTTTCTTGAGAGTTAGAATATGTCATTTCCATAGCTTAAAATCTTCCATGGGTTCTCACTGTGCTTATAATACGTTCGGAACTCTTTATCATGGCCAACAATTTATGTGACTTACTTTTTACTTTCTAATTGGAATTTATTTACAACTACTCTGTCCTTTGCTCACAGTACTCTAGGTCTTGTGACTTTTCATAAACATGTCTAACCTAATCATCAGATTTACACTTGTGAAACCTCTACCAACAGATATTTGTGTGGTTTTAAACTTCTTATTTGGATATGAGCTCATATATCACCTCTTTAGCGAAGCCAGCAGCTCTAACCACCCGATCCAAATTATCCATAAATCCTCCTAGTTTATATCATCTCTTTTTTCCACTCAAAACACCACTGTCAACAATTATGATATCCCCCTACAAGTTTACCTTTTATTTTTTCCCTCCTGCTATTAGAAAATAAATGCTGAAAGAATAAGAGCTTTGTCTTATTACACTGGTGTCACCAGCACCTGGAGCTTGTTTAATGACTATTTCTTCAATAGTTTTACATTATTTAAATGACTAACTAGATTAATTTTGTGTCTCTTTGTTCAGATAACTTTTTAAAGAGATGCATGTACATAATATCTTCCATGATTTTGCCATTATTAAATTCCCCTTGTATGGACATAAAAGCACTGTGCTTTTACTTACTTGGCCTATATTTTTGGTGTATATTGTTTTATTATTGTTATATCTTCTTTGTCTCTATGCTTTATTTGATCAGGTTTTGACTCTGAATTTCACTTTGCTATTAATCTTGGTCTGTATGCTTTGTTGTTTTTAAGTGTCTGTTATATCTTCTTGCAGTATTTTATATTTTGGATAAAAATGTGTCACTGTGGTTTCTGCTAAAAACATAAAGCTGAATTGTATCTTTTAATCTACTGCAAAAATCTCTCAATTTGGTTTTAGTCTGTTGACATTTACTGCAATTGCACTTTATCTTGCTCAGTTAATTTTATGTTATATTTAATAGTTGTTATTTCATCTGTTCTCTTTTTTAAATATATTTACTAATTTATTCAAGCTTTTGTTCAAGTCCTTTTACCCCGTTTTCATTTAGATATTAATCAACACTGTATAAGGTTTTCTCCTATTCCAATTTGTCTTAATCAAACTAATTTTCTTTATTATGATTTTAAAATATCATTTTGAAGATTTTCCTGCTCTTAATTATTGTATCTGTAATTCTGTTACCATGGATTTAAGTTCTTGACAATATTCTTTGATAATCTTCATTTCTGTGACGTTCTTATGGGCAATCACCTGGGGAGAAAAATTCCTTCTTTTAAACTTTAAAAGATGTTTTTTTCTTTAGTATTTTATGACATTTTCACCTATAACCAATCTCCTATGCCAATTATCTTTCTTCAGCCTTTGTATAAGTGTTTTATAATTTAACAGCTTAGAAGCTTGTAGAAAATGAATATTACTATATTTAAGCTTACATGTACATGCCAAAAAAATTATTTTCTGAACTTACTGTTATTCTTTACATAAGAAATACTGACATCCCTTATTTTAGAATGCCATTTAAATTCCTTCATGTTCCTTCCTTGCACTGAAAGCTGGGACAATTATGGGATTCATTTTCTTTGTTTTTCTTCACTCAGGGATTCTAGTCTTCTGTCACTTGTCCAAAGCCTGAAATTGGTTGTTGCATATACTTCACCTAGATTTCCAGTTGTTTATAGTGGGAGAGAAAACTTATTCCTTTTATTCCATTTTCAGTAGAAATTCTGTTATGTTTTTGAAAGATTTTCATAAAATGTTATTGAAAGAAAAAGAGACTTTAATACCTGAATGGTTTAGCTTCAGCAATGTGGGAAAACTCACTTATATTGACATCTCATTTATACATGATACAAAAGTTTAGTAATGTTTCTATTGTAATTATTAAATACCAGGTATTTTGGTAAACATTAGATATTTATTAATTCAGTTAGATTTTCTATAACATTATAAGGTAGATGCTTTTATTATTACTATTCTCATATGGGAAAACTGAGAAATAGACTAGGTTTTCAAAATATATGGGGCTAGCAAGTGAAAAGCCACATTACACAACTATTTATTCTCTATTCAGATGCTATATTATTGATTGATACATTATAATACACTTCCTCAAGACATATGTTATGGTATGATTTCTATAATGTTGACAGAAATGGAGAACCACTTTAACTTTTTGGCCAGTTTCACCTTTCAAAATTAACTTCTTATTAACATTAACAGATTTTAAAATGATGTGACATATTTTATTATTTGGTGTATAACAAAACATTTGTATATATGTATAAAGGTTCCCTAGATGAAGATATATAGAAAAAAAATTCCCTGTTTTCTTAACTCAGTTGAAAATTTAGGTGTTATCGCATGTTCTCACTGATAAATGGGTGTTGAACAATGAGAACACATAAACACAAGGAGGGGAACATAATACACTGGGGCTTGTTGGGGGGGTGAAATGTTAGCAGAGGAATAATAGGGGTTGGGGGGATAGGGGAGGGATAGCATTAGGAGGAAAACCTAATGTAGATGACAGGTGATAGATGCAGCAAACCACCATGGCCCATGTATACCTGTGTAACGAACCTGCATGCTCTGCACATGTACCCCAGAACTTAAAGTGTAATAATAAAAAGAAAAAAGAGAAAATGTAGGTGTTTTAGTTAGGCATAGTTATAGTATTTTATATGAGACTCTTAGCATACATCCTTAAAGTAATTTTCTAATTTTTAAAAAACATTTAGTGTCATAGTCTACACTAAGACCATAATTAGCAGTTGGATATATTAGGTATTCTAAATGAAGTTTTGATTCTATCACATAGTTGATTTATAATATGATGTTCCAAACATTTTGGTGATTTAGAAATGATATATTTACAAATCTCATGTAATATTACAACAAGTTTTAGAGAAGGACATACTTTCAATTTTTTTATTTTGATTTTTCAGATTGCATTCTCACAACACAATACAATCATGGATCTTGTGCAGTTTTTTGTCACCTTCTTCAGGTAAAAGTTTGCTCTTACTGACTTTGAACTTGTCAAGCCTATATTCTGATATATGTCCTGTCAGTCTGTTAGATAATTGATCAATTCTTTAACCTTAAAATATCATATAGCATGTCTTGAATAGTTTTATATGCTTAAATATATTCTACAGAGCAGAGGGGAGATAGCTCAAATATACTTGTGCAAGATTATTTTGCTGTTACACTATTTAATATCTAATGGATTCAGTGGAAAGAGGATAACTTTGTGTCCCCATCACATAAATAATTATAGCCTGCTTTAATTAATGATGTTAACAGTGCATGCCCCACATGGATTGGTTACATCTATAAGAACTAAACCAGTTTGTTTATTTCTTAATTATATTAATTGTATATCATATTCATTATAGGTTCAGAAAAAGGGGTTCCACAGTGAAGGAACTTTGTAAAATGCTATGTGTCCTAAAGTTAAACAGGGCTCTTTTGGTTGGTTTTCAACTGGCATTACTTTTCAGAGCTTTTAAAATGCCAATTTGCAATGTGTCATTCTAAAAGAGAGGTTATAGTTTGTAGCATTTCTCAAAACATGAAAACTCTTTTCAGGGAACATTTATTTTCATTTCCATGGGACTTAAATATAGAAACTCTGGGTTAGGAGAAAAAGCTGAGTTTAAGTTTCAGAATGTCTGTAACTTAATAGATCCTCTGGATCAGAAGAGATGTTATTTTTGTTAACATTGTTATTATGTGTGAGGCTTATGCTGGTCATTTGGGTGCCTTTGTGCAAATTAGATAAATGTGACTTCTCCTTCTGGCACATAAAGCCCCACATCATGGCACTCAACTTTGAAAATAGTGCAGTGTGAATTTTGACCAACACTCACCAACTTGGCTGGGCCGCCATACAGCAAAGACCCGCACAACACAGATGATGTGTTTGGAACTTTGCTAAACACAGAGTAACCATCACCTTGTTAACCAACAAATTCAATAGTATTTGAATTCCTAATACCTTCTTCATTGGAATCTGCAAACATTTTTCCATTAAGGGCCAAATAGTAAATATTTCAAGATTTCTGGGCTGTATGGTTTTCATCGCATCTATGTAACTTTTCTGCTACAGTGTTAAAGCAGACAGAGCCAATTTGGAAACAAATGGGAGGGGCTGTGTTCCAATAAAACTTTATTATAAAAACAGCTGGTGGATTGAATTTAGCCTGTGGACATAATTTGCCCAACCACTGATCAGTTTTATGCCTAAATGCCTTTACTGACAGGAAGCTCACCAGCTCCTCAGATAGCATTTTCTAACATCAGATAACAAATTGTTCTTTATAACTGAGCTGAAATCTGTCTCCCTATGATCTCGCCGCTAATTCATCCATATGGGCCCATATATAAAAATTTCAGTCTCTCATTTCCATTAACAGCCTTTCAGACTTGTAAACTATTTTCTAAAATTTACACATTCCTTGTTCATTTTTCTGCTTTTCTTGATATGAGAAACCTTTGTCATATTGGTTAGTTAATCTGAACACAATAATGTTTGTTTATACACTTTAAAATATTATAATTTCTATAATGTATTTCTATAAACATATTTATCACTAATATGTGTAAAAAGTGCATTCGTACTTTAAATTTGTTCCTAAAAATTTGAGAAAACATCTTAAGTATATTTAATATTTTACAACTTTGTACTTCAGAAAATAAATGAATTTTAAGGCTACTAACAAAATTACAATATGGTTTTAGAAAGTACTGAAAGTAACAATTGAACAAACATTATTAAAGGAATTTAAAAAACTTTTTTTTTTTTTTTTGAGACAAGGCCTCGCTCTGTCACCCAGGCTGTACTATTTTGGCTCACTGCAACCTCCATCTCCCTGGTATGAGCAGTTCTCCTGCCTCAGCCTTCAGAGTAGCTGGGATTACAAACACCCACCTCCACACCCAGCTAAATTTTGTATGTTTAGTAGAGACAGGGTTTTACCATGTTGGCCAGGCTAGTCTCAATCTCCTGACCTCAGGCAATCTGCCTACCTCGGCCTCCCAAAGCGCTGGGATTACAAGTAAGAGCCACCGTGCCTGGCCTAGAAGAATTTTTGATGCAGAATAGTCTGGATGGAAATTCACTGAAAGTTTGATTAAGTGTACAATTTCACAAAGTTGAATGTATATGTAAATTATTTGAATCTTGAGGTTTTTATTTTAAGCTTTTAAATTTGCATGCATATTTCAATAGCTCTTTTGTTTAGTAAAAGAAAAGTATTGTTAATGTGTACCATGTCTTAGTGATGATCCTATTTATTATGTTGTCATCATGGACAATGCAAAATAAAATATTCTAATCTTTAAGTGTGATAAATATATTTGATGGGTTTTTTTGTCATTTAAATTCTTCCAGTAGTGAAATGTTAAATTAGATCACTTAAAAAACTATGTTACTGTTAAGGAAAATATGAACAGGATTTTGAAGCTTATTAATTATTAAGTTTTATACAGTTACTGCTAAACTTAAAGAGATTTTAAGACAGGTTAACATTTATGGAAACCCCTAAATCAGGCCACTTTTATTATTATTGCTGTTATTTGGGTAACAGAGCTGAGTGTGTCAGCTTTGCAGTTTAGCCATTGTTCTATAGGGGCCAGTCTCAAACTCTTTGTTAGTCTTTACCTCTATATTGTGTGTAGTTTTGATGGCAAACATAATTGGTCCTGTACTAGGGAGATCACTTACAGACATAGCCTGGCTCTGTTCTTAATGTTTTGTGCCATCTTAACTAGGTCACTATTTTAGTCTGTTTGTGTTATTGAAAAGGAATACCTGAGGCTGTGTAATTTATAAAAAGAGATTTATTTGGCTCACAGTTGTGCAGGCTATACAAGAAGTAGGGTGCCAGCATGTGCATCTGGTGAGTGTATCAAACTGCTTCTACTCATGGCAGAAGAGGAAGGGGAGATGGCATGTATAGCCATCACATGGGGAAAGAAGAGGTAAGAGGCAGAGACTTATTTAAACAGCCAGTTCTCATGAGAACTAACAGGGTGAGAACTCATTCATTACCATAAGGACACCACCAAGTCATTCAGGAGGGATCTGCCCCTGCAACCATAACACCTTTCATTAGGCTCAACCTCCAACATTGGGTATCAAATTTCAACACGTGGTTTGGGGGATCAAATATTAAAACTATAGCTGTCTATCCCTGGCCCCTGAAATCCCTCATGTCCTTCTCACATACAAAATATAATTTATTCTCAGTACTTCCCAGAAGTCTTAACTTGTTTTAGCATCAACTCAGAAGTCTAGAGTCCAAATGCTCATCTGAGATTCACAGCAAGTTTCTTTCAGCTGTGAGCCTGTAAAATAAAAATCAAGTTACTTACCTCCAAGATACAATAGTGGAACAGATATGGTAAACATCTCATTCCAAAAGTGAGAAATTGGTCAAAATACAGGGATAACATGCTGCATGAAAATCTGAAATGTAGCAGGGAAAACATTAAATCTTAAAACTCCAAAATTATCTCCTTTGATTTTATATTCTGCATCCTGGGAACATACTGAACCAGGGCCCTGCTGTACTAGGCAGTTCCTTGAAGGGTACTCTCTTCAGGGCCTCTTCAGGGCCTCCAACCCTGCATTTCTGCTCAGCATTGCCTCACTAGCAACTGTCTGCAGGCTCTCCACCCCTATGGCAGGCTTCTGCCTGGACAATCAGGCATTTCAATACATCCCCTGAAATCTCAGTGGAAGTTTCCAAGCCTCTACTACTCATACTTTCTAGCCTTCTTCAGTGGCAGCAGGAGCAATACCTGGGGCCATTTGAGCAATGAGATGTGGGGAGCAATTTCTAGAGATGGGGCACAGCAATGGTGTTCCAAGCCAGTCATCCAAAGCCATACCATCCTCCTTGGCCTCTTAGTCTGTGATGGGAAGCCCAGAATCCTGACAGATGTCTGAAATGCCTTCAGATTCTTTCCCCCATTGTCTTTATTATTAGTACCTGGCTACCTTTTTATTCATGCTGCTTTCTTTAACAGGTGTTTTCTACCCCAGCACTCTTGGTGTCCTCTTCTAAAAACACTCTTTCTCTGCCACATGGCCAGGCGGACAATTCTACAAACTGTTATGCTCTGCTTTCCTATTGATTATAATTTCTGATTTTAGGTTATTCATTTGCTCCCACATGTGAATATAAGCTGTTAACAGCAGCCACAGTACTTCTTGAGCACTTTACTGCTTGGCATGGATATAATGTAGCCAAAATCTTTGACAGGGCCATTACAAAGGTTACCTTAGTTTGAGCTCCCAATGATTTCCTCATTTCAATCAGACTTCCTCAACATGGCCTTTACTGTTTATATTTCAATCAGCATTTTGGTTCCAACCACTTAACCAGTCTCTAAGATGTTCCATACGTTTCTTCATCTTCCTGTGTTTTTTATGAGCCCTCCGCTTCCAAAGCCACTTTTACATTTCTAGGTATCTTTATAGCAATGTATCACTTCCTGTTACCATTTTTCTGTCTGAGTCCATTTATGTTGCTACAAAACAATACCTGAGGCTGAGTAATACAGAAAGGAAAGAAGTTTACTTGGCTCATGGTTCTGCAGGTTGTACAAGAAGTATGGTGTTGGCATTTGCATCTGGTGAGGGCCCCAAGCTGTTTAATTTATGATGGAAGAGGAAGGGAAGCTGGTATGTTCAGAGATCACGTGGTGAGAAAGTTGGCAAGAGATAGAGGAGAGAAGTTCCAGGCTCTTTTAAATATCCAAATAGAGTTCCCTCCCACTCATTGGCAAAATGATGACACCAAGCCATTCATGATGGATCTACCCCCATGACCCAAACACCTTCCATTAGGCCCATCTCTAACATTGGTTATCAAATTTTAACGTGTGATTTGGGGGATCAAATAACCAAACTATAGCAGTCATCAAGCTTCTCTAAATCTCAGTCCCTTCATATATTGAACTAAATGGTTTTGTTTTTTCTTGTTGTTGCTGTCAAAT